AGCCGCCGCCGCCGCCCGCCCTCCGCCACGCCAGCCAATCGCCCGCTGCCAGCGCCGCCGCCGGCCAATCCGCGCCCGCCGCCTGCTCAGCCGCCCGCTCGCATTGGGCAAGGAGATGGTGAGCTCACCCGCGGGGCGAGGCGCTCATTGGGCCGAGGGGAGGAGGCGGCCAATCAGAGCGAGCAGCGTGGCACCTCCCCGGCGTGGGGACGCGGAGCTCCCCTCAGCGGCGCCGCGCGGCTCAGACCGCCCCCGGTACCGGTGCCGCCTCCCGCTCCCCCCCCCTCCCCCGGTACCGGTGCCGCCCCCCCGCCGTGCAGCGGAGCATCCTCAGCCCGGCTGAGGACTGGCTGCCACAGCCCCCCCGCCGCGGCGGGGAGCTCTCCCGGGCTCCCCTTAGGCCTACGTGGGAGGAGAGCGGGCCGGGCCTGCGGCGGCGGCTCCACCACGCCACGCGCGGCCCCGAGCCGCTAGACAGGGGAAAGCCGGGCCAAGGTGACGGGTTGAGAGGCACGCCGCGAGCAAAGGGGCGAGGGGGAGGACCGGGCTCGGTTCGGGAGGTCCTCGCTGGCCACGAACCGGCCCCAGGGAGCCCTCGGGGACGGGCCACGGTTCGGGAGCAGCCCGGGGAGGCGGCAGCGACACCGGCAGGTCAGTGAGGCCAGGCTGCGGCCTTCAGGCTGCCACAGGCTGTGAGCGAGGGGGCAGGATGGGAGCTGGAGCCGTTCTGCGCTTCCCTGCAATTCCTGCCCTTAAAGAAGTGTCGACGTGGGTGCCAGAGCCCTGGCACAGGCTGCCCAGGGAGGCTCTGGAGGCTCCTTCTCTGGAGGATCTTCAAAACCCACCTGGATGCCACCCTGTGCCCCATGCTCTGGGTGTCCCTGCTGGAGCAGGAAGGTTGGACTAGATGGTCCCTTCCAACCTCAGCCGTTCTGTGGCTCTGTGAAACTTGGCCTAATTTTTAGGTGTCTCTCAAAAGCACAGCTGGTCCCGTTCAAAACACTAGTGCAACAAAAGGATAAAAAAAAAAAAAACACAAAGCAAATTCATGGTAGTGAAATAGTTTTCCTGACAAAGTACTCTGGATGGCAGTAGAGCATCTCAGGACAGGGCACGAATACTACTCTGAGAAGAGCTAATAGTGACTGCTCTATCACTGAGATGTAAGGATAATGTCTGTGCTTTCAAAGCACAGGGTTCAGCTTCTGTGATCCTGTCTTTTGTGAAATTCATGCAACAAAAAGATCATTAAGCTTGATATGTGGTGTGCACTGATGCTCTATTAGATAGATACTCATAAGAGATGCATAAATTAACATAAACACTCCTTTTGATCATTATGTATTTCTACAGAATGAAAATACAAATTTTCCCCTCAAAAAAACTCTCTCATCAACGGGACACAACCACAGACAAAAGATGACATCCCTTGACTGACACAGCCCATTAGCTCTGCTTCTGACACTACTCATTTGATTACCCCATATATCACATCATGGACAGTCTGGTGCAAGTTTGGTGTCACGCGCTCGGGAATACAGTGTAATTTAACAGAGCAAAAGCTTCTGACCTTCCTAGCAGCAAGGAAGCAGGTAGGAAGGGCACCTGCCTAGGGACTTAAGTCGTTGCAACAATTGTGTGCTATGGGCACAGTGACAAAGAACTGCAACACTGCACTTTCTATTACAGGATGATTTAGAAAGCACATTAGTGCTGCTGGCTAGTGGGAACATCATAAGATGCTCAGCTGATTCTTATCTTTTATTTCACCAGTCCTGATTCTGTGAGGCTTTTTTCTACTCACAGATAGCACTCGCTTGAATAACCACGCTAGCTTTGACCTATTTTGTGTATCTGTGCCTATATCTAAGAAGCATCTCCGAGTTAAATGGCAGGCCTGCATTAAAACAAGCCTGAGTCCTAAGCTCAGTCCCATATGTGCAGACATGTGCATGCACACACTGGCTCAGTTAATTCTCTAGTGCCTGAGGTCTAAATATCCATTCAAAGAACAAAGGATCACACATTAATAACTGAACACCATGTTCTATGTCATTCTAAGAAATCACTCTTCTTGTAACTAAGATGGTAGTTTGCATTTGCTGCATTTTTTTTTTAATAAACGTGGCAACCCCAGATGTCTATAGTTGCTGTTTTTGCCATAGAAAATCCATCATATGGTGCTTTAGCTGGCACCTGCCTATCTCTGAGATCTTGCTCACAGTGCCTTTAGAGCCATTTACATGGTGCTCCTTATGAAGCTTTACAGTTGTACTTTAGAAACATGACTGAGTTAGAAGGGCTGCCAGTAAGAAGTGGCATCAACATCAGTCCCTCCAAGGCAATTAACAGGCACCTCTTTGCTGCAGGGCCTGCTATTGCTTTTAGTAGACTGCTATAAACTTGCCTCTGAAATTATGTGATGGGGCACGTAGTGAATGGAAACAGCAACTTCTTAGATAGGAATTTCACTGTGTTTCTTGCTTATGCACAGGAATAAAATATTTCACCAGCACATTAAAAGGGGACTGTGTAAAAAGTAACTAGAATGCCTCTGCCTTCAGTCACTTAATCCTGCAATCCTTTCACTGCTACCRCCCATTCCAGCTTATTTTCCACCTCTAAAGTACCCAAATGCTTTTTAGAAACGATCAGTTAAATCTCAGCTAACCCTGCAAGTGCTTTMTTGATGAAAACATGTCTTTTTCTGCTGCAGAGCACTCAGACTGGAGGCAGGGGTGTTCCCTCCAGCATCACTGACACAAGACAAAGTCCCATAGTAGATTCCTATGTAGGCTACAATCAGTGAAACACYAAAGATCAACTGGGGTGTAGTCTGCCTCAATTCACCCATTCCAGATTCCTTGGAAGGAAGCAGGTATAGAGATCCAGGTGCTACACAAGCGTTCACGCCTCCTGTACAGGTATTTAGCATCTCAGGTGGGAGAGAGGTCCCGTCCACATGGGATCTCTGCCTTTCCATGCCTGTTTCCCAGGGCTGGTTAGCAGCAATCACTGAGACAACTCTCCTGGATCCACTGACATATTATCCCACATTATCCTGTCTCTTCCTGAATTACCACTTACTCCCTTCCTTGTCACAAACAAGGTTTAACAGGTTCATTATTTCTCCTGCCATAGTACAGTGGTTGAATTCCAGGGGGAATAACAAGACCAAGAAACGATGTTTTTTTAGTTTTACACTTAATTTTCCCCTTCCACAGCCAAAAATGCCCCCTGATGCCACCCCCCTTCCTCTTTCTTGAGCAGCTCAGCGCTTTCCCCTTCATCCTGGTAGGTCAGACGCGGATTCTGTGCAGGAGGGAAAGCAGCAGTTCCACGCCAGGAATTCCCAGGCATGGAACCGGCCTTCACGCATCSGGAGCGCGTTGCAAGGGCCCTTCCCCGGAGCTCTCTGCTCTCCCGCGTGCCCTTCCATTCCGCCTCTTCCCAGCGCTTCCCGGCGGGCGGCACAGCGGGAAGCGGCGGCGCTGCCGCCAGGGGCCGCGCGCGGGCCGGTGCCGCCCGCAGCCCCCGCCGCCTTTTCCCGCTCCAACCTGGTGATCCCGACGATCCATTTTTCCCCCTTTGCTGCTAGGGATGCGCTCTGAGGATGCTCCAGGTGCAGCTCATAGTAACGGGAGATGACTTCGGCTACTGCCCGCGGAGGAACCAGGGCATCGTGGAGTGTTTCCTGGCTGGAGCCGTGTCCAACGTGTCCCTCCTGGTGAACGGGAGCGCTGCGGCGGATGCTGCCCGGCTGGCGAGGAGGTAAGCGGCTCCCTTCCTTACAGCCCCGGTAGAAACCCCGTGTCATAGTCCAGGCTGGTGGAAGAAAAACGAATCCCCGACACTTAGACTCCTCCAATAACAGCACTGAGCTGCAAATCGTACCCACAATGTTTCCTCCTCTAGCACAAGCTATTTGCAGCATGTTTTCTGCCTCAGGAAATAGCTATTTCCACAAGTTGATTGATATGGTTTGGGTTTGTTGGTGTTTCTCTTACCAAGCTGCTGACAGATGCACCATCAGAATAAAAACCTGCATTATATTGCCCAGATGAGATTAAAACTATTAGAGYGCAGAAGCATTAGTTTTAATAAACAGCTTAATTTGAGGCCTTTTAGCCAGGCTGGGTCAGCTAAGGTCACTGTAGAATGAGGAGCAGATATAATTCTGCCAGTGCAAAACAAACCTAGACAGTGGAGAACTTGACTTTTCAGCCCTCAAAACCTAGAGAAAAGGCACCCCACTMTTTTATTAATTTTAGGGTCAATAAATCATTTTTTAAAAAACAAGTATAAAGAACATGACTGTACTTTGTACCTGCCTTGTATCTTTGACCTTTGCTCTTAGGGCTCTTCAGAGGTTGCTGCCACAGTTGGCTCTGTAACAAATCCAGTGGCATGTGTGGTTCTCCTGCACTAGCACAGCAAATCCTTTAATAGGAAGCATTACTCGTATTTAGAATGTAAAACCTACCTAATGCTTCAGCTCAATGTGGGCAGGCACTTGGAAGCAGAACTATGCCCTGAAAGAGAGCAGCAGGGCAGGGAAACAATCTAGAAGCAGAGGATGAGCAGAATCTAAGGTCAAGACCAA